CCCTTACAAAACCTAGACCAAATGTGGACACAAATAGTACCAGTGAAACTAACCCCACGCCAGAGTCCAGCCACTTACCAGCAAGCCCTTCCTCTTTGAGAAAAGCTTTTCCACCAAGACCAGAAGAATATGTAAAGCAGTAACCACAGCCCTCCCCTTCAAAGAAATCAACCCCAGGAAGGGCTTCCTCTAACCAGGGAAGCAGACGAGGGGAGGAGACTACATGAAATACACTAGCAACCTCGTGCTGCCGATCCGTTAATTTAGAAGGCACTGAAAAACTCCCAGCGCTCCCTCGTTACATTTTCAAACAGGCACCTTCCTGCTTTCCCCTGTGCTGACCCTTCTGCTTGGGAGGAGCTCCCTGTAAACGTCCACAAAGCTACCTCGATATTTCCCTTCAACTCCCTGCTCCAAACACTCCTTTGCTGTGATGTGAGAGCAGTTAGACTGCCGGTGTGCTGAGACCGCCGCCGATCAGGCTGACCTATCTCATCTCGCTGGTTCCTTGTGCTCTCCCTTTTGGCTGAATCCATTTGCAGCTCTTGTCTTATACCTAGATTGAAAGCTCTTGGGGGCAGGGCCTGTTTTTTGTTCAGCGTTTGTACAGCGCCTAGCACAACGGGGTCTTGGTCCATGAGTAGGGCTCCCCCTAGTAGTACAAATGAATAGTAACAATGAATGGGCACCAGCGCATACCCTAAGGCAGACAGATGAAGATGATTAAGCTTTGAGGTTAGATTTAAGAACTCCACGTTGTTTCTGTTCTGATTCAGGGGTGCTGGAACGGGGGAGTGGGGGTGGGGAAGGGGCCATGACCCTCCCACTTTTGAAAGTGGATAGGCCTTTTCACCATGGGCCTGGCCCCCTGCCCCGCCTCTTCCCCCTGAGGCCACGCCCAGGTGGAAGCAGGAGCCCAGTTCAAGTAAGAGTGGCCCAGGGAGCCCAGGCAGCTGTGGGGAGCTGCTCAGGGCAGGTGGAAGGTCTTACCTCGACCCGGCTCCAACTTCTGGCTTGGCCTGGGGATGGGGTCTCGGGGCCAAAGAGCTGCAGCCGGGCCATGGTCAGAGTTGCCTGGGCAGCTGTGGGGAGCCACAGACCCTCCATCTGCCTTGGGTGGGGCGTTTGGGGGGCAGGGACACGGGCTGGGGCCTGCTTTCAGGCTCCGCCGCCACCCCGGGCAGGTAAAGGGGCCCAGGCTCCCTGGCCTGGCTCCAGCTTCTGGCTTGCCTGGGGGGCAGGGCCTCGGGGGGAAGAGGGGCAGGGGTGGGGTGCGCCCTCCCCCCACTATTAGGAAGAATCCTTTGCCCCTGTTCTGATCCTTGTAGACTCAAAACGTAACCCAACCCAGCCTGTTCTCAGCCTGGCCTTTACCCCGTAACACGCCGAACCTCAAATAGAAGCACAATGACAACATCACTTGGAATCCGTTTTTGTCTTCAAAACGTCTCAGGAGAAATGAGCATTTCCTGTTTATTTTCTTAGCTTCCCCTGGTGCAATTTCTAATCAACTCTCCAAGGGCTGTGGGGATTTCCTGTCCGTGCTTCAGCCCCACAAACTCTCACACACTCTCCGGTGTGGAGTCTAGCTGTAGTTTTCCCTCCAGGGTGCGTGGTTAAATATTGTTGACTATCAGGCCTCATAGGTGCAGATGGCACTTTGCAGACACAGATACGAACAGAGGTCCCTGCCCAGAATAGTGTACAGTATAAAGACTTGGGTGCACAGTGTGTGTGTTTTTGGGGGGGGGAAGGCGCACCCAACCTCCCTTTTCATTCCAGGCATAGTCTTCGTCCCTGTGTTCCTCTGAGTGCATGAGCTGCTCCAGCCCAGTTCTGCTAGCTCTCCCAAGGGAGCGAGGCCCATGGCCAGCTCTGCACCAGGAGGGGGAAGGATAGCTCAGTGGTTTGAACATTAGCCTACTAAACCCAGGGTTGTGAGTTCAATCCTTAAGGGGGCCATTTAGGGATCTGGGGCAAAAATCAGTCTGGGGATTAGTCCTGTCTTGAGCAGAGGGTTGGACTAGATGACTCCCTGAGGTCCCTTCCAACCCTGCTATTCTATGAAGTTATGGCAGGCTGTGGTGTTCAGTCTCATAAGGCCTAAGGTTACAGTACTGGAGGGGGATTCAGGAGAGCTGGGTTCAACCCTCTTCCTGTTTTATCTTGGGCAAGTTGCTTAATCTCTCTCTGGGAAAGGTGCGAGGAGGTGTGAATTTAGGTACTTGCATGCTGTGGCAATGGGGCCATGCCGGGAGCTATATAGATATGGAGTCACAGTGCAGCCTGAGATAACAGACAGAGTTGGGGGAAGGCTACTAAGGAAGTAGCTATCTAAGCATTTGTAAGGCACCAGTGGCCACCAAGGTGTTGTGAAGTATCAGAGGGGTAGCCGTGTTAGTCTGAATCCGCAACAGAGGGTCCTGTGGCACCTTTAAGACTAACAGAAGTATTGGGAGCATAAGCTTTCGGTGTAAAGGAAGGCGGCTCGGCTCTGCAGATTGTTATAACGGAGGCTGTGAGTGTCTGTTCAACAACTTCTTCCTCAGAGAGAAACTGGGAGGAAGCTAATACTGTACAGGAAAGATGTTGCAGACTGCCCTGAACCCCATTCGATTTGGTTCCAGCTGGTTATCGTCTGGTAAGTGCAGCCTGGGGAATTGTGAGTGGCAGATAATACACCAAACTACGGGATTAGGTACAAACTATCCGGAATAACCCATTGATGAAATAAACCAGCCCCTCCCTCTCAACCTGTATTTAATGATGCTTGTAGAATGGCATGAAAAGGGGGCCGATCATTTGTGGGTTTTACCCACTGCAAATCATCAGGTGGGAAAATGTCAATTATACGGCTTCTCAAAGCGGCATATTATGAGCTGAATGGGGACAGTCCGAGTGATGGCCAGACACAGCAGTGATGAATCAGCGCGGTGTTCAGCCTGTTTCTTCCCAGCATACAGCTTTGGAAGACGGAGGATGTTAGACTTGATAACTGCCCTCCTGAATGCTTTCATGGCTGTTAAAAATCTTCTTTGTACACAAACGTATTCCATAATATTCCCTCGGGAAAAAAAGGTTGCCCGGTCTGTTTCTGCCTTTCGGGGCCAAACAAAAGGAACAGACGTTGTTGATAATAAGCATGTGTCTTTGTTAAGACGGAACTATTAAAACAATTAAAGCCCAGCAGACAAAGATTGCGGTGTTAGCTATTGGAAATACAGAACCCGCAACCGAGAGTCCATCCACTGGGCAGTGTCTTTTGCCACAGGTTCTTAAGTCCAACAACCAAAAGTTCCTTTAGTGTGCCTCTCCCTTGTCCCTCTACCGCACCCCACTCACAGCTGTTGTCCTTGGTCAGTGAAGACCCAGAGTTCAGAAGTGCATTCGTGTGAATTCACTTCCCACCCGGGATGGGGGAGAGGAGAAGGCACCTTGCTCACTCCTTCAGCCGCTCGCTCCTCCAGCCACTCCAAATGCACCACTGGCCGCACTGCCAGCCTCTTGCTGCTGTGCCAGCCACTGGTTCGGTGCCCCGCCAGCCACTCGGTTTGCTCCGCCGGCTGCTCGGTTCAGTCCTAAGGGATGTCTGTAGATGCTTGCTGAACATAGATAATACAAATGTTGCAGGCCAAAGGGGCACAAGCAGGGAATGTGAAACCTAGAGTCAGATTATTAGCTGGAGAAGATCAAGCAGGTTTACGACATAATCAGGCCAAGATTTTCAAACGTGGCTGGCGATACCGGCTGCTTCCATTTTTCGGGGCCCAAGTTGAGACACCTTAAAGGGGCCTGTGTCTTGGGGAGTACCAAGCACCCCTCCTTTGGCAAATCAGGCTCCTTTATGGGGGCTCAACTTGGGCACCCCAAAATGGAGGCCCCCCCAGAAGGACTCACCCCTGGTGAAACTCTCGGCCGTCCAACATTTGAGTGAGTGGTGTGGCTTCCCTGGCTTTCCGCACCCCCGTTGGGATGGGCCAGAACGGGGGGCAACCAGCTGCACCCTGGGGGGTTTGCAAAACACCAGCCTCAAATCTCCACAGTCACATCAACCCACCGTTGGGTGCGTGTGTTTCCGTTTTTCCTTGTTATCAGCTGGCCAAGAGACTTGCCCGGCCTTCCTCCGAGTCCTGCAGCTTCTGCGGAGATGGAGTCCAGAGACCCACTCTGGCCATCAACCCAGGGGGCAGGCAGAGCCCCGCTCCAGAGGGCTCCCCACACCAGGGCCACGTTGGCACACCAGCCCCCCAGCACATGGCTGGCCAGCGGTGCCCTGGCAGGGGTGTGAACAGACCAGCCATTGGTAGGGTGACCAGACAGCAAGTGTGAAAAATCGGGACAGGGTGTGTGTGTGTGGGGGGGGGGTAATAGGATCCTATATAAGAAAAAGACCCCAAAATCGGGACTGTCCCTATAAAATTGGGACATCTGGTCCCCCTAGCCATTGGCATGGGGCTGATTCAGTCCCCACTACCGGGGGGCGGTCGCTGAAAGTCCCCTACAAAGAGGGGCTTAGACTAACCCCGACCTGTCCCCCCATAATCCGGTGTGCAGCGCACCAGCGGGGCCGGCTCTTGCTTCTCCCCCCGGCAAACGG